GGCAGCCGACCTCCACGGACCCTTGTCCCTGCATCCCAGCAGGCAGCAGCCACTCTGTCCCTGCAAACCCCCACGGGTGCCGGCTCGCAGGACGTACCTCCTCCAGCAGGCGTGGGTCCAGGCAGTCCCCGTCATCGTTGAACAGCACGTCCCAGCTCTCCTCAGCACCTGGGCTGGCCTCGCTCAAGGTCCCAGCACTGGCGTGCTCTGCCTTTGGGGTGTCTCCCTCTTCCTGCTCGCCCTCCTGGCTGCATGGGTGCTGCTGTGGTGAGCCTGCGTCCTCATCTGCCCCCACCGGCTCCTCAGCCCAGGCTGCGGGTGAGAGCCCCTCAACGCCACGGCACAGCAGCTCCAGGGGTGGCAGGGGCTTGTGGCTCTCTGAGGGTGCCCCCTCCCATGCACCCCTCACTGGCTTCTGGCCAGCACCCAGGAGGGCGCCCTCAGCCCTGGCACTGCCGTCTGTGCAGGCAGAGGTGCTGCCTGCTCCCTCTCCAGCGGGCACCGGGACGCCCTCCCCACCAGGATGCCCAGCCCCGGCAGCACTCTCCTCCTTGCTGGGTGGGAGCTGGGATGGACTGCCTGTGTCCTGCCTCAGGGTATTCTCCCCAGGGAGCACTGGTGCATCACCCATGCCACCCCTCCAGCACTCGGTTTCGCAGCCAGCTCCTGGTACACCCGAGATGCTCTCCCCAGCAAGCTCAGCCATGCCTCTCTGCCTCTCCTCTTCTTCCTCCTCTGCTGGTCCCCCAGTGGCAGAGCCCTCGCTCTGCCCCGCCAGGAGGAACCCCCCAGGCTCTCCTTCCTCTCCCTGGGCTTTTGGACCTGCAGCCTCCCACGTCAGCCTGGACGCGCTGCCCCAGTCGCCTGCCCCTGCCAGTGGCAGGACACCCTCTCCCAGGCACTGGGAGAGGTCCCGAGCGGGATCCAGGGCGCTGTCCCCCAAATGCTCCAACATGCCACTTGGCCCTGTCCGACACATAGGACTAGCTAGCGGGGCTGTTGGGCTAGCGGGGGGCGTCGGGCTAGCGGGGCCGCCCCCAGGCTCAGGGGTAGCCTCCATGGCCCCAGGCTGGGCACTTGGTGGGGATGGAGGGGCAGGCTCGGTCCTCATTATCGAGTGGCCACGGCTAAGTTCCCTGAGTCCTTCATCATGGGATGCTTTGTCCTGCCCGTCCCAGGGCTGGGCAACAGCTGGATCCGGGCATGGCTCCCACACGCTGGGTGATGCCCCCAGGCTCTCTGCTGTGGTGGGGCAGCTGCCTCCCAGCC